CTCAGAATGCAAAGAAAAATAGCTGAAAGTAAAAGAAATCAATATAAACAGTATTTCGCTTTGTGTCCAAAATGGACAAAATTAATACTCCAAATATATGCCAAGGCTTAAAGCAGCAACAACGCTACACATGTTAGTAAAAATATTTAAGTATCTGAACAAAGAATTCTAGTGTCTTCCCAAGTTTGATTGGCCTGACTAATCACCTGTTAGGCCTAATTAATTTTAGAATGTTTTAAAGTGTTGCAATTGTGATGTATTTTAGTGTGTGATATGATGAGGCTGTTGACAAACTGTGATTGTTTTTTAAATTAATTATTTTTTTTAACTATCTGTTATTTTAGAAAAACTGATGATGGTGGAAAAATACACCGAAACGTATTTTAATTGATAAATAGAGACAATAAATGACTGAAACCCAGGAATTAATTTTGATTTGGAATTGAAACACAGTGAGGAAAGTATGTACAAGCTAAATAATCTCGCATTCTTCCAGACATCCGACAACATGCTCTTCAATAGCCGAAATTATGTCGGTTCTTTTCTTCAACACCATGCGCTACTCTGTGGCCGCGCCCAAGGATGTCTCCAGCGACAGATTCGTTCTGTCCAAAGGCCACGCCGCTCCAGCCTTGTATGCCGCTTGGGTTGAAAACGGCCTTATTCCAGAACCGGAGCTGATGAAGCTCAGACAATTGGGATGCGACCTGGAAGGCCATCCAACTCCCAGGTTGAACTTCATCGATGTCGGAACTGGCTCTTTGGGTCAAGGCTTGGCCATTGCTGCCGGTCTGGCTTATGTTAGCAAGAACTATGATAACATTGATGCTAGGTGGGTATTTTACGACAATGTTAAGAATGAAACTAATGGGTTTTTAGGCCGTCGTAAAATGGAATTTCTTCCGAACGTTTCGCAAGCACCAGTTGAGAGACGAGGCTTGCTTGACCGCTTACACTGTTCTAAGCGTTCAAGTAAGCCATCCACAAGAGGATGAAAGCCACTCGTGCTTGCGAAACGTCTGGAAGAAATTTCATTTTACGACGGCCTAAAACCCCGAAAAACCCACTAGTTTCATCTTATAAAAGTTTGGGAGACCAAGCGAGTAGCAAAAGTAGGTTTCACCTAATTTTTTCTTGCGTCCTAATTGCAATCATCTATTGAATCTGGACTATTCTGCCTCTCCTCTATTTTCATCAGAACTCTTACCGAGTTCCGTCTCAGTTCATGTCCATTTTAACACTTATAACTAAGTGATTCAGTCCATTTTATGGATCAAGCCCTGTTCCAATAATAACCTCATCATATTTTTATGTCCCGTCAGAACCTACTGCCTTATTGGAGATGGTGAAAGTGCTGAAGGATCAATCTGGGAATCCATCGCTTTCATCAGCCACTACAACCTGGACAATGTGGTTTTGATCATTGACGCAAATAGGTTGGGTCAATCCCAACCAACCACTGTTGCTCACCACTTGGAGGTGTACAAGGCGCGATTGGACGCTTTCGGGTGGAACTCCTTGATTGTTGATGGGCACAGCGTCGAAGATCTGGTAAAGGCTTTTGACAATGCCAGCGCCACTAAAGGCAAACCGACTGCAATCATTGCGAAAACTTACAAAGGGAGAGATTTTCCTGATATTGAAGATCGCGAGGGATGGCATGGAAAGGCCTTGGGCAAAGAAACTGATCGAGTCTTGAAACATCTGGAAGGACTTATTGTCAACAAAGGTAATGTTTTTGTTGGAGAAAACTTGGAAAATATTCAAACTTTTGAACCGACAAACACTAGAAAATACACTTTTTGGATGATGGGTCTTGCGCTAAAAATGTTGAAACATACTATTGAATTTTGTGGCAATTAGGAAAATTATTTGTTTTTTATCTTAACGTTCTTTCATGTAATTGTCTTGAGATTTCCCGCATTTGAAATTTGTCACTTTTGAAGGGAATTTTGGAAATTGCGTTTTTTTGTTTTCAACTTTGTGAAGAGGTTTTGTTTCTTCTAAGCGGGAATAATGAATTTTGGACCTTTTAGTTTCATTTTACCTAAAACGGATAAGTTTTTTTTAGTTTTCAAATGTTTTGTTGCTTCCTCTGTAATCGATATCAAGTCAAGTTTTGCAACTGTTTTTTTTTGGAGAAATCAAAACAGTGTAGAGTCCCTTGGAAAGAGGAAGTTTTCCGCCAACAAAGAGGTTTAGCAAACATGAATTTCTATCAACCCTATACAACTGGCCCACACTTTTTCTAATTGCAAACCTCACCCTCGCCCTAATTAAAAAAAGTCCTCCAGGCAAACTGAACTTTACCATTCCATCGCCCGTAACACGAGCCCCGCAAGTCAACATCAGCAACATCCAGCTGGCATCACCTCCCAACTACACGGTGGGCGATTCGCTGGCGACCAGACAAGCCTATGGAGCGGCGCTGGTAAAAATTGCTCAGAACAATCCAAGAGTAATTGGCCTGGATGGAGATATGAAAAACTCGACTTTCTCCGAACTGCTGAAGAAATACGACCCAGCCCGGCACATCGAATGCTTCATTGCTGAACAGAACTTGGTGGGCGTCGCCATCGGAGCCACTTGCAGAGACCGAACTGTGGCGTTTGTTTCCACTTTTGCCGCCTTCCTAACCAGAGCGTTCGACCAGGTGAGTTTCATCGACCAGGTCTCTTGCCAAATCCACCAGTAAACTCAACTCTTATAGATTCGGATGGGAGCCATTTCGCAAACCAACGTGAACTTTGTGGGAAGTCACTGTGGAGTCTCGATTGGTGAAGACGGAGCCAGTCAAATGGCCTTGGAAGATTTGGCGATGTTTAGATCCGTGCCCGGATCTACGGTTTTATACCCAGCTGATGCTGTTTCAACAGAAAGGGCTGTTGAATTAGCTGCCAATACGCCTGGAGTAACTTACATCCGAGTGAATCGCCCAGCGACTAAAATCATCTATGCCAATGACTTCAAATTCCAGGTAAAACTTACAAGTTTTGCAAGTTTGGACGAGTGAAGACACTATGCGGTTCAATTGCAGATCGGCAAATCCAACGTGATTCTCTCCTCTCCTAAAGACCAAGTGCTCTTCATCGGCGGCGGAATCACTTTACAAGAAGGAATAAGCGCAGCCACTATCTTGGCCCAACAAGGAGTCGGAGTACGGGTCCTGGATCTATTCACCATCAAGCCCATCGATCGGGAAGGAATAATCAAAAACGCACGCGAAAGTGGAGGCCGCATTTTGGTGGTTGAAGACCATTACCCAGAAGGGGGAATAGGAGAAGCTGTACTTTCCGCTGTGGCGGAAGTAAGGGATGTTTACGTGAAGAAGATCGCCATTCCAAGGGTGCCCAGATCTGGAACCCCCAGCCAAGTTTTGGATTACTATGGATTAACAGCAAAGCACATTGTAAATTATCTGTTGGATGCTATTAAGAACTAAGGGGAAATAAATTTGGTTTTTCACTGTTGTTGGGGAATATTCCGGTGGGCAAATGCCCAAATTAACAAGGGCGTTTACTGGATTTGAGCTGAAAATTATCTTCAGCTGCAGCTTCTTTATTATACAGGGCGGTCCAGTTGTAATCTTCGAGTCTCTACTTCCTCTACTTTTAATGAAATTATACAGGGTGATTCAAAATTTGCGTCATTCCTCTGGGGGTGTCTTGAGAGTACAGAAAAATTAGTTAAAAAATTAAATGTTATTAGAAACTCAGATATTTGCAAAAAACTAGATCAGAAGGATAGCAACAATGTTTTTCAAGATAATCTGCCTAATTAACATTTCGTGAATGCCTGCTCCTTCGTAATTATTAAAAACTCCGGTATCCATGAATAAACATGAAGCAAAGAAAATAAAAGAGACAATAAGATGCGTCGAGGTTAGAATAACGGTGTCACCTTGCGGTCAGTGCTGCCATCTTTTTGGGGCAAATTAGTGATATACCTAAATAGGTCTCAACTGTCATCCAAAACCACCGGTTAAAGGTTATGTATCATTGATCAATATTATTGATCAAATAAAATGCAATTCTGTTGTTAAAACACAAGTGTTCCCAAGAGCAAGAAGTCCTGCCCGTATCACTCCAAACATCTTTGCCCAATCCCTGTGAGTGGGCTCATATTTTGAGCAGCTTCTCGTGTTCGGTTAATTAACTGCTGCTCAATTTGAACCGGTGTTCGAAAGTTCAAAGATTTAATGTGTTCTAGTGTCCTGTGCATGTTACATACATGGTAGGAATGTAGGCCCTTCCTCGATGGAGTTATTGGGACGATTAAGTATCCGGTGTTTGGGAAAGTGCATTTGTTGTGCAATGCATCAAGTACTCTTGGAAGACTCAGGAGCAATAATCTCCAATACCTGTTCCTATAGGTCTGGAAACCGAGCACCTTTAGATTGTCCACTATCTGCGTCCATTTCGGGACACTCGTCTAATGTGTAGCTCTTTGCTAGTGTAAGTTCTTACAGCTTCTGCTATGTTACCGTGGCATTTTCCTATAACTAATCGCATATTCGCAAATTCGCTGTTGGTTTACATTTTGTGAAAGAAGCTTCAAAATAAGCCACAGTCTATCTGTTAATGACAAAAACATCATTGCCACTTTGACTTTTCATCAAAAAACTGTAGAAGAGTACTTTTTTAATACCCAAAATTTTCATAATTTGACAAAAAGATAGTAATTTTTCTTTTCGAATGCTTAACTATTCCAATAGGCTACCAATCAAACGTGGGACCTTTTCAAAATAATGCTTAACAACAAAGTTGAAATTCGATCTTCAACTGTTAATATCTTCTTGAAATTTTCGAAAAAAAAATGTTTGAATAATTTCCTCGTACTCTCTAATTGGGCCCTATATACTCTTAAAAGAAATGACGCCAATTTTGAATCACCCTGTCTATTGTTCAAAAAAAATTTGAAGAATGAAACTTTCCAGAAGTGATACGGGAACGTTCTTGTCCTGAAACAACATAGTTTGTATGTAGAAAATGTGCATGTTTAAACTATCTGAAAGAGGCAGCAGTTTTGACTGATGTGTGTGACCAAATCGACCCTAAAACAAATGGATTTTGGTCTTCCAAACTTTTAAAAATGAACAAGGCAAGGTCCCTCAGACATCGTTTGCTCAAAATCTTTCAGGGGTATGATAGTAAAGTTCACTCAAAAATCGATCCATTTGTTGCATTACTTCAAAACTATTGATTTCTTGAATAATTCTAGACACGTCTTTTACGAAAGCTGTACGCTACTTAATATGAGAGAACATGGACTTTGTCCAAATTTTGGGAATCTGGCATCAATGTAGTTCAAGCCGCGAAATTAATGGTAAAATAAGGAACTTTAGCCAACACAGCACCGTCTTTCAGTGTGTTTGGGTTCAAAAAAACGGGAAAATTCCATCCATCCATCATTAGAATTTGGGCCAAAATTGAGACAAAAAATCTTTCAAAATCGACATCCGAATGCCTTCCTAATCGAAAACAAAATCCAGAGGGAGTAGATCTGGTAAACGTGCTGGCCACAATGCTGCAGATTTTTACAGTAATTACAACTAAACTGGAAAGTAACTTCGGCAGATGATGTAGTGACTCTTTTTTTATTTTCACCTGCGGTTTCTATGGTCAATCCATTTGCATAGGGCGTACCAAAAATAATTGTAAAACGTATTGTTGCAGCAGACATTTTTAGTGATAAAGTTTGGAAGGGCGTTGGTTCATTGGGTTCAATAATTCAGCAAGTTGAAAAGGAAATTAGAATGGTCTTAAATCATTCCCGGTGAAAAGAGCGGAGCAAGAAAGCGGGTTTCCTACATTATATCGGTTGTGCTGCGGCGGCGAGATTTCAGAATAGCGACTCATTCATATCGCATAATTAATTAAATTCTAATTGCAGCTGTTCCGAGCCGGTTCGTTTAAAAGTTTGCGATGTTTTGCGATCGCAGGACATTCATCATTGGACTGACAAAGGAGGACGCTAATCGCGCCCCCCTTCTGCTTCATCCCTCCGACAGATTTGACTCCTCCGGCCTTTGTCTCTACCAGCAATTTTAAGCGATTATTACCATGAAAGAGCCACAAATCAGGATAAAACTTCCCGGAAATGGGGGAGTGAATCTACAAATATCAACGTGCATTATTTCGGTATTTTGACTTAGAATTTTCTGATGTTCTTCCTTAGTAAGTTATGTAAAACTTTTTCAAATGTGCACTTGTCTTGATTGAAACAATAAGAAAATAAATGAAAACAGAAATTTTGCGTCCCCTCAAAACCTACGGAAACGTAGGAAGATAAAGCGATCACCTCTACCAGGAAAATGGATCTGAAACTAAAAAACAAACACGAAACAGAAGATTAATGCTGAGCTGTCTCCCGACTTTCTTCGGGGTATTTTTCACGTAACCATCGCCGCACACACACACACTTCGTAGTTACACCTATAATTTTCCTCTAATCCAAATAAATTTCATCGATTTTTGACGAATTATGTTGTAATTTCCTCATACGTTTTTCCCAGAAAATGAATGATGTCGACTCGACACGAACTTATTATTGAAAGCGCCCTTTGACAAGCAATCTGTTTTAGTTTGGCTTTCATATTTTCAGCGTGTTGTAAAAAGATTTCCCGCCTCCATTTACTCAATAAATTGAGGGTGCACGCGTGTTTGTGTACGCTTTTAGCGAAATTCTCGATGTCCAATTTTTTTATGAACAATTCCTGATTATTGAGGGTGTTATTCAATACAACATCGCATTGAGTCGCATTAAATGATAAAGCGAGGTAAAAATTAGCTTAGAAAGACTACATTTTAATAATCGTTAAAAAATCTAATGGCGAAATTTAAGCCATGAAATCTATCTACAAAAATTTTCCAAATAAACATCTAAAAATGGCACATATTTAAGCAACCTTAAAACACTTCAATCAGGGAATCAGCAAGAACCATATTTACGTTCCTCACCCTTTGAGCCAAATCTGAAGAAACGTACTGGGGAAAGTTGGCAGTGAAACTGTGGACATTTTATGAGAATTTGGGACTTTAAATTTCAGCTTCCATAAGAGTCTTTTTTTTTGGCGCATAATTTTTACCTTGAGAGTGTTTTGGATTCCACTTTTTTTTCACCCAAACTCAGCTTCAGGGTCAAAAAATAGTGCTCTTAATGAAATGTTTGGATTATGGTCGATTGCCGAAATTTTGTTAATTGCTTGCAGCGATTTTTTTTTGTTTTCCACCTCTCAAGTAAATTTTGTTCTCCAAAATCCAACAGAAAACGAATAATCGTCACTAGTCTGTGTATTTTTTAATTTATTTTGCGCTAGGTGGCTTAGTTTTGGTGGAAAAAAAGGGAAAATCGCCCAAATTGTGGAGTCTGGAATGTTGGTGCAAACCGGTTTTTTTTACAAAACTTTTTCTCCACTAATGGCTCGATAGAGACTATAACATGTTCTAAAGGGTTCAGCAGCTTCTTCAAAAATTCTTCCCACTTTTTTACAGGTAGTTCCTTTGAAGGGTCAAACTTTAAACCTTAATAAATCGCTCAAATCTCACTCATGTGACACGATTTTTACACAGACGTTTTTTCCGGTATATTTATACATGTTTATTGCCAATTGGGCGCAAAAGAGTTTTAAGAGAGAAAATGTCTCATTCAAAATGTCTCATGTAAATGAAACTCTTAAGCAAATTTTCGAAAAATGTTGTGTTATTTTAGGTGATTTTCATTTTGGTTATTTAGGTGATGAAGTGAAAATCTGTCGTAAATTCAGTCTGTTAAAAAAGAAATTTTTGCTCAAATTTCAATGGTAAATCGAAACACTTTCAATAGCGCGCTTGTTTTTCAGTTTAATGATAAAGTCAATTCCAATTTTTTTTTCTATTTTACCTTCTCTATCCAGTCGAATTCTCAGAAATTGAGCATCGTTTTGAGTTTAAAAGTTATAGTTCGGTAAATTTTCAAAAAATTATTTGTTTTTTTTTTCTCCCAAACCGAGATTTTTTGTCTCAGATCAGATTTTCTCAAGAACACAAATTTTTCGTGAAATCTTTTTTCAAAAAATACATATGAAAACGGAGACAGTCAAACTTCCCAAATACAAAGGAGGTAAAAACATTCAAAATATCAAAAAGAGTTTCATTCAGTAAAAAATTTAATCAAATCAGAAATGTTTGAATAATACCATCTTCAAGAGCTTTTGCCCAATTCGTTATTAATACGGTAAATTTTAAAAAGAGTTTTTTTCCTCAAGTGTTTTTTATGGTTTTCTCAACATTTATTTTACGTTGTTGTTTATGTTGTTTGTTTATGTTGTTGATTTCAACATATGGAAATATGAACCTCGTAAGAAATATTTTGACAATAGACGAAACAACCAAAAGAAAAATATTAAAAACCGCAGGAAGTGAAATCAGTGAAAAAAATCAGGAAGCAGTCAAATTACGACTTTCAGCCATCAAATTAGGAAGTCTGTCGGTTTTCTAATTAAATCGTTTTATTATTTGGAAACCATAAGAAAGATGCATATGTAAATATTGAGAAACAAAACCTAAAAAAATATGATCTGAAGTTAAACTTAAAATGGAATAAACAATCTAAGAAAAAGTGGCTTAAGCCCGAAACAAAAACGCACGTTTCTAATCAATTACTGAGCGTAGTGGACTGAAAACGGTTTTCTTCGTTTTATTACATTAAATTAAAGCTCGATTACCAAGTAGCAGATTTTCCATTAAAATGCCAGTGATATTTCATTGAATAAGTCTATAATACATAGCATTAAAATCCGGTATAAATACGAGACATGCATCACAAATTTCCATCGCGAATAGGCAAAGTGTTCTTTGGCATAATACGCATAATCAAAAATCAATAATAATCTTATCGGGCACATGTTCAATGTGTTGAAAATTTCAAAACAAAGAAACCTCTTTATGAACCGTTTCCGGGATGAAGAAGTGCGCTCCATTATCTTTTCCAATATCTCTCTTTCGGCCAATTTCGCGTTGGAATATCGGGAGTGAGCATGGAAAGGATCTGAATCCCGAGAGAGCAATGCATCCATTGCGACGGGATATCGAGTGGCTAGTTTTGCGATTGAAAAGGCTATTTTTCATCATCGGCCCGGTCAAAGGAAATGAATTCGTTACGGGGTTTTTATGGCAGATTGAGCATATTGTTCCAGACGTATGAATCGATTTTTTATTTGATTTTTTTATTGAGTGTTTTTATCAGATAGATTTTTTAAATGGTCACTTCAACTCTTGAATTTTGTAAAAGCAGCAATAATTTTCTGAGCTTTCAAGTCAATAGTACTAGTTTCAAACGGGCAGTCAATTAAAAGACTTTCTTCGGCAATTGCTTGAGATCTTCCGTAATAATTAGTAATTGAGTTCGCTAACTAAAGTTCGCTTTCTGTTTCATTCATCTTATAACGATTTTAAATAAAAAATGGTTTTCGGTAGTATTTTTTGAAAAATATTTCAGAATGGCAATGAATAAAAAAGGTGACATGACCCTCAAGTACTATTCGGGTCGGTAAAGTCTTCCACGAATAACATAGTCTACGGTTAAATTTATTTTTTGATGAGTTTTTAGTAGGTGTCTCCAGCCTGATTGGTATGATTTACGGTTCTCTCAGTAAAAAATCTGGGAATTAAGCAAATGTTTGTTCTTAGACGCAACTTTAAAAATTAAACAAGAAAAGTTCCACATTTTTGAAATCAATGAAGTTCTTCACGCCCGGTCAAAGTATCAGTTGAAAAGTTTTACGGACTTAGAAGCCGTGGATTGCATTTGCTTCCTGAGTCATGTTTAAATTGCTCAGGAATATAACGGAATGTTCGAAAGCCTACGTTTTCAAAATAAATAACTTTCAATCTAAATTTTTGCTTTTTATTGTTTTATCACCAAAATGTATATTTAGGGAAAATTAATTCGGTATATTAAAATGACACACTTTTTCTTGTATTGTAATTTATAAAGGCAAGAATTTCGTCGGTACCATTCGAACAAGAAATCATGTAAAATAGTACAAATTTGTCCTTGCATTGGATGATGCAAGTGCAGGTTTTGCGGTTGCTTATTTCAGGCTAAACTAGGTATGGGAGAAAAACATCGATGTAATTCGTTCGATGTTCAATATTTTTACCATCGATGTTGGAAATTTGGAACATCGATAAAATATCGATGTTAGATCCTGAAATGAAAACATCGGACATTTGATGTTGATACTAGATAGAAACATTTTCTGCGAACTCTTTGATAGTGCCGATACAAACGATGCCGCGGCATAGCGGCCCTTTTCCAGCGGCACCCGAAAAATCCACTTTTTCCAGTCAGTTGACCGAAAAATGTGGCAACTGTAAGTTGAATAAATTTAGTCGATTATTTAATGTTATAGTAGTAGTGATATAACATTATCTAAGTTTAAGTTAATCAATTTTAAATTTATATGCAATGGCAAACTATCAGAACATCAATGTTGTCAAACATCGATTTTCTGTCTTCGATGTTTTCCTAACATCGATATTACCTTTCGATGTCAACAGCGATAGCTCCTATCGATGTCAACATCGATGCTACCATCGATGTTATAGGATCAATGTCAACATCGATGGCTACCATCGATGTTATAGGATCGATGCCCCATCCCTAGGCTAAACCCAGATGATGAGAGTTAATAGGGTCGAAACCGGTCCTAGGGGTGCCTGAGGTTAGCAAACTTAGAAACTTGCACTATCTTACTTTGTAATTTATAAATGAGATAATTATAAAAATGTAGCTGGTAAACAGAGAGCTAAAATGCCATTTTTAGTAAAAATTTCTAAAAAAGTAAAAAGGTGCAAGTAGATGTGTATAAAACTGGAGAGAATCGAATGAAAAAGATAAATCATTAAAACAAGCTTAACAGAACAAACTAAAATCGCTGATTAGCTGGACTGAATAGAGCAAAAAAAGTTTGGACTGCTAATTGAACTGAGTGGATGGCCAGCAATTTTAGTTTGTTCTGTTTCAACCTGTTTTATTCATTATTTGCGAATCAGCATATAAAAATAGAAAAATCAAGCCCACTTTCAATTTCTTGGGCCAAGAGCGGAATGCGAACTGAATGATACATTGAGTGTTCAGTTAGGCATTTTATTCTCTATTAAATTAAATGTGTACAGATACTTAATAAAAACTAGAATCACACTGAGTGTGTGATAATGGTGTCATTATCAAAATGATATTTAATCTGTAAGCAGAAAAGGAAGCAAATAATCATTTTTAATATCCCCATGGAGCTGATTCGCTAAACTAATGTGGTTTTGCAATAACGACGTGTTTACTGGAAGAGTCCTATTAAGCGTTTGCAAAAAATGGGGCAATCGAGTTACGCCTTATAGCAAGCGGCAGCTTATCAATTTACAATTTTATATAAAACTCTGGTTCAACCATGGTTTTTTCTACTTGAAGACGTCTTACTCTGCAAAATATTTAAACGCTACT